CGCGACATGAGTAAAAAATAATAATTATTAAATGTAAAGAGGTATTATGTGTAAAAACAAAATATTTCACTTACAGCAAATTCGAACCCCGTTTGTTCAAGGCTGTCTTCCTTGGACCATTTCACGTCGTACTGGAACGGTGTCTTGTACGGGTAAACTGGGGGGTTCCACGTCACATTAGCTGTAAAGCGATAGTCCTGTTGCCCTGTCATATTGCCCTCGATTTTCACATTACTGACCATTCTGTCTTTTAATGGAGCGTAAGGAGGGTCAACTGCACAGAGTCAAAGATTAAAAACGACAACGATCAGATTTGAATGTGAGGCTTAATCAAAGCGACTGTAAATAGAGCTGTGTGTATGATGTCCGTATAAAACAGTTAAATTTAATACACAAAAAATGTTCATTTGATCAAATTTGTATAAACACTTTGCAAAATGGATGATCTACTAGGCCTTGTTAGTTATAACCGTCAGGCGGAAGGACCTCACTAACCTAGACCCAGTTATATACCCAACAGGCTATCGTATCTCAAAGGTTTACAAGGTTCCTTCAGAAAGCATCTCTGTTTGTACGTGAAAGAACGAGATCTGTCGGGGCTTTGCACGGGTGGCTTCAAACTATCAAAAGATGTTTTTTTGACCGATGAAAATAAGTTTGCATACTTACACTTATAGCATTCACTTGTGGGAAAGTTTGTGATGTTTTGACAACCTGAAAGTTGCACAGATATACATTACATCATTAAGTTCAGCTCCTAAATTGAAGTTAAAGGCTGCAGCCAAGATATATCATGTCATGTAATAAAACGGCATTAGGCTCCTCTATCTAGTACATGGGTAAACTTCCATGCGCTCAGCTAGTCTGCAATCACCATTAAAACAAAAACGTGCATTCTATTTTATTACAACGCAACTATAGTGAAAAAAAGGACGGTATTTGCTTTTGCGTAATGACACAGACAATATGAATTTAATTTAATCATTCTGCGTCTCTTCCAGTTTTAAGATATGACTACAGCTTTTTCTTACCGGCAGTAGAATATCATTACAAAGACAACAAAACCAAGATTCGTATAGTCAAGTCGATTGTTTGAGGTGGTGTATATGCGACGTATTTACCTGGATATGTGTAGTTAAATACTGTGGGATAGCTCACACTGCAGCCAACTATAGAATAAATCTAGTAACAAAGCACACGGCATAATCATAAGTACCTTTCAAAATCGAGTAACCAAGATAATTATACGCTATACAAATTAAATCGGAAGCCAACATCATGATCAGCGTTTAAGATCACAAAGGAAGATATCAACCAGAAAAATGTTTTGGCTTTTCCTACCACAGAATAACTTTTAGAATGCCAGCTGTCAACATTCATAAGTCCACAAAAGTATCTCAACAGCGTTTACGCTACATTCGACAAGTATTCAGTAACAAAGATCTTTTAACATTTTATTGAAAATAAATCGGCCGTAGTTTTCCTTTGCTTGATGAAACAATGGCAAATATATATTTTTATTCCTGCTTTAACTCTTACTTCCAGTGTGTGGATGCATTTCAAGGACTTGTGAAAAATGTGCATTGATAAAGTTGCCTATAACAAAGAGGAAAATGTTATGAGCACTTTCTTGTGTGTAGTACTACTGGAAGGGCAATGCAGGTAAGTGAGCTGTAAGTAAGATTATAAATTATGTTAATTAATTATTGTTAATGAACTGCAAGTGTAAAGGCTGTATAGGTAAAAGCATACCAAAGTAAGAATATACATTTTTTTCATTCTTTCATCCTGTTTATTTGCCTTTTTTACTTAATATACAGTATAGTACTTGTAGTATGCCTGGAATTGTCTCCAGACATGAAGGACAAGAGATTGATATTTTATAACAGACTTCTTTGGTACAATGTTTTGGAAAAGCAATTCCCGAAAATATTTCTGAACGGTCCATTTACAAAATTCGCACCGCTCAGCAGGACCGTAGCTTGCAATAGGCAACTCATGCTGAGACACTTTTCTCAGTCATTTTTATTACTACTTTTTTTAAAAATTTTTGTGGTTTATAGTCATCATAAACTCCCTATAAATACTTAGGAAGAGAATTTGGCCATGCCCATTGCATTAATCATAATTTTTCATGAACATTGCCATTGCCAGCCTTTTTTCTTTCCTCTACCTGCGGGCCTGCTCAGCTGTAGAGAACCAACCAGAATCCTCTTTTTCATCGACAACCAATTTGTCATATATGATAAATTTCAATATCAAGCTCCCAACATTGTACACTATTCTTAAAGTCAAATTGACCAGTAACAGAGGAAGCAGCTGGCAGCTTAATATTTGCTCTGTTGTTAACTCTAATAATATTGACGCTCTGCTGTTCAATGTTCGTCATTTACCATAACGCCGTGTCAAAAATAGAGCAATTGGGCACACAGTGAACAAGCAAGATCTCTGATAGAAACCTACGTGTGAGTAGATTCCGTACCCTAACGTATAGCAAACAAGATTTGCAATGAAACCCATTTCGCATCGCTTTTTCATAAACGTACTATTAATCTGCTCAAAGTAAAAAAGATACACGCTGCCGGAAAAGATAAAAGGTAAGATAAAGGGAAGAGAGTTAATTACCCACACATATAGGCTTCAGAAGTCCAGGAGGGTCTAGAAGTTGCCAATCATATGACTTGCCGATTGTACTCACATGGACAGACAGCGTACCCAAGCTACGTCGCGAATGAATACTATATGTAATTATAACTCGTTAGAGAAGGATCACATTGGTAGTAAGGAGATTTACACTCCCACCCTTCATCCTCTCTCTGCTGAGATTATCCAGAAATGGAAATGCATGGCAATCTACTAAATTCCAAGTTACCAAGTTACTATCATTTGAGCATGAAATGTTAAAAATTCTTCAACATTCGAAAATAAGTAAACTTTGTATGGAAAGAGACAACCCTTGCCATTTTCAGAAAAGCTTGGTAATTTTCTTCAAAATCAGTATTTTAAAACGCTACCCTGGTAATACGTGTAATGGTTGGCCAGAACGAAACGAAACGTCTTCATCATATTATCCTTTGTTGCAAATTGTCCATTTGCTCGTTCCAGGGTGATCGTATTTTAATAACTTGTTACTCAGTAAATATTATTTACTAACCCCATTAGAATCTTCTGCACGAGGCAAAGACTCATATTGACAGGATGAATCGGCAGAAAAGTGTGCTCCGTAGTGTGAAATGAGATCCTTCTGATCTGAATACAGAAATTGGACAGAACAACTGTTAGGTAGTAGGCTTGATATTTCCCAGCAACCTAATAGCTACTTATTAGAAATTACACACTAGGCTTAGTGGTAAACCTTTCAAACTTTATCTCTCTCATAAAAGTCACTATCGTAAGAAACATTTACACCAAACCTTTTCTTTTGAAAACAGACGGAAAAGGCAACTTGGCAATGGCCTTTTAAATATTTTTATTCCCTTTTCTTCGCACCCTTTTTGGTAATATTTCTCATAGTCCTTACTCTTTTAGACAAAATTGGCTTTCATCGAGAGCCTAGAAACCATGGTTGTATCTGGAACGAGGACTAAAGTTTAATGGTGGATTGCGAAGCATCAGTCAGACAAGAACTGCACCTTGGCATCTTCATGCACCCATGCTGTTTTTTCTTTTTTCTTTTTGTTTTTTTTTTTCTACCTACCTTTAGGTGGATTCCAAGAAACTGTCAACTTTATTTTATCTGCAATACTGGCGCTGTCATAGACTAGGCTATCCAATGTCACATTAGTCACAGAATCCGGCTTTGTAAGGGCTGAAAGAAAGAATGTCAATTAATAAAGACCATTTAAGAAAGAATGAAAAAAGAACATTTAAACAAACCATCATGTCGACATCGACAATTAAAGTATTATAAAAATTACTCGAGTATTTACTTCTAAGCGACAGCCTTAAGAAGCTACCACAGTTAAATGAATTCTGATCATAACAAAACAAAAAAATAATATTATAATAAATGTAGAATTGATTTTCACTACTCACTTATTTGCGATGTTTGCGGTCCATAGCTTACAGAAGAATTTCCTGTTAATGCAGCAATTTTGAATCGGAAAAATATATCTTTGTATTCCGACCATGTAGTGTTCGCACAGGGAAGTTCAAACTTGACTGTAGCCCGTGAGCTGACGTAGACCTAGTTAAGAAGTAAGCAAAATGGCACATTTATGTAAGTAAGACAAGAACCAGTCCGTGATGCAGAGGAGGATAAAGTAAATGTTAAAAAAACGAGGTGGGAAACGAAAACGTGAAACAAAACAGGCTGTTAGAAATTAGAGACGAACGCGAGTACGGAAACGAGATAGAGAAGAGAAGAAGTCTACGCTAGACAGACGAAACGCATTGGAGAAATAAACAAGTTTTACCGCTACAGTTCGTAGAATGCTGCGTACTAGTTTAGTGTTGAAAACATTGTAAAAAAAAATCTCTTTAACGCGTCTTAGTGCTAAACCAAAACAACGAAAACGAAAAAAGTACTCTTGAATGTGATATCTGGACAGTTTACCTCTGATAAGTATTTATAAGAAACTTTAGATTCCTCTCCAGTAAACGTCATTTCGATTAAGTACACAACTGCACCACTCGTGTTAAGCACAGGATCCCACTTGAGTGAGATTGAGGTGAAATTCCTGCTTGTTATTGTTGGTATACCAGGTTTTGGTGGAAAGGAACCATCTCCGGTTATTAAGAACGAACCGTTCTGTAACTGCGCCAAAAACACGCAGCTTTTCTCACAGCTGCTTGTGTTATTCTGGAAGAGAAAAACAACTCTAGGCTTCTCAAATGGCTCGAGAAATTAAAAAAGGAAAGTTTCAATTGCTAATTTCCCTGTCTAGAGTATTTATTATTATTATTATTATTGTTGTTGTTGTTATTATTGTTTTATTTTATTTTATTCTATTCTATTCTATTCTATTTTATTTTATTTTATTTTATTTTATTTTATTTTATTTTATTTTTTTCTTAGACAAAGAAAGATTAAAAGAATGCATTGCTCAGGAAGTAATTTGAACTACAGTTAAGGGATAAATTCTTTCCGAATCCGAGGGCTCGATTATAAGCTTATCCAACAGTTTCCAGTCAATGAATAATTAAGGAAACGGTCATTTGCACTGATTGGGAATAGACAGATATTCTATTTAGGAACAATTGTATATCTACTTACACAACTTTGCTTGCACGTTTCTTCATCAGAAAAAGGGGTTCCACACGGGATGAGGCACTGTGAAAAGAATGATATTTGTATCGAAATCCTCCCTTCTCTAAAACAAGTGGTCTATTTAGAAGGAACCTACCTCTTGGCAGTTTGATGCGTCGCGATTCGTTGCTGTGTGATTGGCAGCTGGGTTCTAACAAAATGACAGAAACGGTTAAAATTTATCAGCTCTATCCCGTCCTGATGCCGATTAAACATTTTAATTTTGCCATAGAAGTCACATGCCTAGAATTCAAACTTATGTAAAATTAATTGTCAGCAGGATAGAATTCTACTTGTACACTTATTCAGTTGCTGCCAATTGATTGGCTGAGCTATCTCTCATAAGTTAATCGTTCACAGCATGGCGATGACTTTGTCGTTTCTTCGAAGTTCAGGGACTCACTTCGGGGAAGATTTAGAAACATTGCTACAATAAACCTCTTTTACCGATACGGCGGCCGTTGTGAATTCCATTGTTTTCAAATAGCTATTATGGGGATGCTCAGGAGGCAAATTAGCATTTATTTGTCCCCTAAGCATCCGATAATAGCTATTTGAAACAATTTATTTAAAATGGCTGCCGTATAGGTAAAAAGGTGTTTTAGACTACAAAGGAGGCTATACAGGAAGAACATTAAACGTTTCTTGAATATAAAACTCAAAATTGCTGAAAAAGAAACTGATCAGTGCACGTGCTCAGCTTGATAAATTGCAAATGATAATTCAGTTCCACGCGAATTGGCCAAAGGGTGAAGTTTAGTACAACCACAGGCGGCCCAAGGGCGAGATGAGGGGAAATAAAATATGTAAATGAAATGTACGCGAACGTGACTCTTGCCTTCGAGCGGTGTTGTGTTACTAAGATGCGATTTACAAGGGTTTGTAAGGGAACTTTACGGGTTAGCTTTAAATACCTAAACTTTAGTGTTCTGTGAATGAAACTGACTTACCTTGCTTTCCTGTCGTAATCTTTGTTGTTTCACGGCGTTTGAGGCCGATTTGAAGCGTTTTCAACGAACACCGTGAAACAACAAAGAATACGACAGGAAAGCAAGGTCAGTCAGTTTTATTCACATAACATTAAATTTTAGGTATTTAAAGTAAACCTGTAAAGTTCCCATACAAACCCTTGTAAATAGCACCGCTCGAAGGCAAGAGTCACGTTCGCGTACGTTTCATTTACATTAATTATTTCCTCTTATCTTTCGCTTGGGCCGCCTGTAGTACAACATTAAAAAATTAAATATGCAGAAAAATAATTAAAAGTCTTTATTTGAAGAACATTTGGTTAGAATGATAGTTGGTTGGGCCTTCGGTTCATATTTATCAGTTTTCTAATAATATTAGTCAAATTTCGAGCTCATAATCTAGGCAAGTGAGTTGTAAGTTGAAGCTCTATGTGATGACTAAACAAAAGATGGTTAGTCACACCCACCTACTCTTGAACCTCATACAAAATGTGTTTTGCTGCGTGGTGAAGTCTGTCATAAAGCTGAATCACAACAAAACTTACTGTTTTTTTAGTTCTTATATATTTCGTTTAAACACTTAGCCAAACGAACAAATCTCATTACCTTTCAACGCAATTGAAAAGTGGTATCCCTTCTCTATGTAACGCAGTTTGGTCGAGTTTAAGACAATTTATTCAAGAGAAATAGCTCAAACTAAATGAATATATTTTTTTTCCAAATTCGCGTTATTTGCAATTACTTTATTTTATTTTTCTACGGCAGCAGTGTGATAACACTAAGCGAGGAAACAACCCTAGAGTTTATTCAAGTGGCAAACTATCTCGGGACATATTTAATTGAATCAATTTCGTTTTCTTTTATTTATTGTAGAGTTATTATGTATAAACAACCCAGGTTTGGACTTGGAAATGAGTGAGGCACGTAGGCTCGGTTCGTGTATCACCTCTGGAAATCATCAAGATATTTCAATTTCGTTATCGTTGTGAATTTCATCAACCAGTAGCAAGCTTTTAAAGCACAATACCTGTTCGTAATGATATCAGGAACAAAAATAAATCAATAGGGAAATTCGTGAATCTTTCAATTTTGAAATAGTAAAGTCAAATGCGAGTAAATGCATTGTCATTCTGAATTAAACGATTGGATAAAGGTTTAACTTGAAAAAGTGCCACAAAGATCGTTGACAATAGCTGCGAAAAGCAGGAAGAATAAAATATTTCCGCGCCTTCGATTCTGCCTGGAGACGTCACGTTTGGCGAATAGCGCATATTTGATCGGCTTATTTGATTATCTAGCCGGGCGATAACTGTCATAACTTGGTGGCGAAATAATAATTGGTTTGGTAGCTAAAAAAATGATTATTTTTTATATATATACCAATAAGATTTAGATTCTGTGGAATTAGTTTGAAGAGATTAAGGATTTTGCGGTAATAAGTAACCCGTGGCATTCAAATACTAGAGTTAATCCGCCTATCGAGAAAGAAATACCAATTTAAAATTGCTGCAGCAAATTTTCCATCTGAAACTCGATTAACATCCAAAGACTAGTTACACTGTAATGATAAGTTATTGAGAGTACACGTTAACACTTCTTCTCAAAGTATATTGGAAAGCAGTCTTACCTGTGTGATGCAGTTTGCGTAGCATCGAGCCTTCCTGACAATTGCCGAATCGATTGGGACTCCTTTAACTTTATAATAGAACGTGAAAATCCATAGAATCAGCAAAAGACGGAAAGAGTTTTGCCTGAAGAACTTCCAAAACATCACTAACGATCGCATGTCCTCTGCATTTTAAACTGGACACAATCCAAGATATTGCAGTTGAGCAGCAATTCAGTCTCTGTTAAAGAAACGTCAGAGTTTGAATATTGTGGCAAAAATGTTGACCAACAATGCTAATTGACACTTCCGCTAAAAGGGATCTGTTTGGCTGACGAAGTGACATGAAGTAATGTCATGAAGTCAAGACTTGGTGAATTACTTTTTTACTTGCTTTTTTTACAGCATCTTCACTCATAACTTATTGAATCCAACAGATAGCTGCTTAAGTTATACTGTTGCCTCTACATCAATCTAACGTGGTCGTAAATGGCACATTATATTTTGTTGATGTTTAGTTGTTCTGTTGTCAATAGGTAGTTTCGGTGGGGAGCTCCTTTGTCTGAATGTCTGCTTGGTATTAACATATATAATGGAAGCAAACTTAGAATAAAACTTAACGCCTTAAACACATATTTACAAAAAACGATTTAATTAAATTTCAAGGATGTTCGCTTTTAAGAATCTTTCCTGCTGATGAAAAGCTCGCGCTGACTGCTTCAACGCTTTATCTTCGGAATCAACTGTCCAAAAGAGAGAGGTTCATATGTAGATTTTTGTCGACAATGAAATGTCAGTTAGTTGCATTTAAGTTGAGTATTATGACAACACTCGTAGATAAAGCAAAAACGAAGAATTGTCGCCAAAATAAGGACGATAGTTCGGCTTATCCCATCTAGTTTCCTCTATGGATTTAAAAGTGTGATCAGTTTAAATTACCGTGTCTCAGAAACTGACTTTTATTGACAAAAGAGACAAACTAGATATAATTGTTTCCATTGCTCATACAGATCTCCTGACAGACAATATTTCTTTGGGGAATATATTTTCCGGATACTAATTAATAGAAAAAAAAATAATAAAAAACTATTAAAATCATTGTTGATCAGCAAAAGAGTGGTTTCGCAATTGAAACATGCTTTTATTTTGACCGTTAATTATATTGTGACTGATAAACTGCAGGATTTTGAAAAAGAGTCTGGTGATTCTAATTGAATATCATCAAAATCGCTATGTTGTGTGGATCTCATTTGAGATGAACGAGAGCCATGATTGATAGCGATCAATCGGGAAACATCTCGTTCTGTGGCTTATTTGCACAGGTGCAGCGTTAGTACTATGAAATTACACTCAAATGATTAGTAATTCGGTGCATGGTATAGCTTTTACAGCAAGTATGTCCTGCTTGACAAACGGCTTTGGGCATCTTATATCACATCCGGGTGATTTTCAGCAACAGAATCCGTTTCCGAGCCAATTTTTTCTTTAACTTGTACATAATAAGTACGATAAGGAATACCGGCAAGGAACGAAACTTAGTATAAAAGGATCTACGTGTCTTACTGTATACCGGGCTGAACTGAATCACTAAAAACTGAAAAAAAGAAAGGTTAAACTAATATATCGTAGTCAAACTTCATACTTAACCCTGTTTAGCACAAAGGGGAGAAGGAAGCTGGTGCTTAAGCGCCCAAGCTAATTTGAAACTCTTTCCCGGATTTAAGCTGTGGTAATAAAACTTGGTGATTTTTGTAAATCTGAGACGTACAAAGGCGAACAAAGTTTCCAGTTTTCTTTATCCAATTATAGAAATTCAACAATGTGCGCATTTCATAAGCATTCTGGCTTGATTTTATATTAATTTCCGTTATTTCTTGTGACTTTTTAAGAAAATAGTTAAATCCAAGATGGTGGTTCCATGATGGCGGGTTAAATGACGTCATATGACGTCACAGCCAACAAATATGGTATCATTTTGTGAAGCAAACTTAGGGCTATCTAATCAATGTTAATTTATTTCGCTGAGACGTAGTCCAATCCCTTCCCCTCTGTACCACGGTGGGGGTAGGAGTTAGCTTGTACGCTAGAGGGTTAACAGTAATGTTCTCAGCTAACATTTTGGTGTGTTTCTGAATTTTTCAAATGACCAGACTTTGTTATATAGCGAGCATGTTTTCAATGGGTTTTTACTGAATTTTGGTGTTTATAACCAAAAATTCTGTTGTTGTTGTTTTTTATTTTGTTTAGTTTTGTTTTATTTTTTTTATGAGACGCTTCATTGCATACGGTTAGTGACTGACATTTGACAGGCGGGAAAACTTTGCTGTCTTAACGTCAATGTATATTAATAGGAAAGGCATTGAAATCGGGCAACTTTTCTCGCTAGAATTGCTTTAAATATGCACAAAAAGGATATACAATTCAAAAAAAACATATCAGATTGCAAAAAGTGGAAAATATGAAATATTTTGTGTCTCCAAGCTTAGCTTCTAATTTGGCTCCAAAAATGGGTCACCGGCAACTCGCTCGTAGTTCGACGAGTGTCGCCAGTGTCCTAAGATATCAGTTGTGTTATTCTGAAAAAAAAAAA